AAAAAAAAAAAAAAAAAAAAAAAAGAGAGAAAAAGACAAACCAAACAACTTCAGTCTTCAGATACCAAGAAGGGTATCTTGCCCATTCCCTGACTTCAGAAATTCAATTTTTTGCCATATTTGGTAGCCTTGAAATCTTTAATATCCATCTGGCCATTAGGAAAGAACAATCCAGGGAAGTATTTCCCCATCCACCCACAGAAAAGCAGAAACTCTGACCTTTAATGGAAATATGGCTCCAGGTGCTGAAGGCTATGCAGTAGCATTTAAAGCAGCACTTTGAGATATTTCACGTATTTTCCAGTGTATTATCCTACCTATTATCCACCAAACAGCAGCCACAGAGCAAAGCTCTGGAGTGTAGATGGCAACAACAAAAGGACACATACTAAAGGTGCTTATATAGGTTTTCATATGGGTATGAAACTTGTATCTGTGGCCCACTGAGGCGCTCTCCTAAGTCTATCACTTTATTTTAATAAAGACCAAAGTTAGCACGAGCAGCAAGTTCAGTGTGACAAATCCAGATGAGTGAATCTGACAGAAATGCGTAGGTTGTAGCGTTGTTCTTCAATCACAGTGATCAAGACTTTTTCAAAATATGTGGTTGCTCTGATAGACAAACAGCTCGTTCAGATCTTTGGCGAATCTTTGGCTAACCCAATTTAAAATCAATTTTAACACATTAATTAGAAAGATGCAAAGGTATGTCAAAATACAGCAGGACCTGATTTCTGAACATATATTTCATCTTCATCCCCTGGACTTAAATCATTATTTTTCCTCATGATTTCTTACCCCACTCAAATGAAATTTGTTTTTAAAACAGCACAGAAGTTTCTGCCCCCAAAATCAACAACACTAACATGTTTTAAACTTTAGGCCACAGAACTTATTAGTTTGGTTTTTTTAAACTATTTCAATCTTATACTTAATCAGTAAATGGTTTGATGAAGTCAGCATTCTTGTTCTTTGTCTGAAAAGCACCTGGCATGATGAAGTCCAGGTCCACGAACAGATCTCTTAGTCATTATAGTCAACCATAAATTCTCTGTAAACTAAAAGCCAGGCTAAGAATTAAACTTGAGCAGCTGCAGAGGATGCTCAAATCAAACACTTTTTGCCACCTGGTTCTTCCTATGCTATTGCTGCATCATTTATCTAAGGCTCTCATAAAATGACCATCACTGGAATCTAAGCATCTGCCCATCACAGCACTGAAGCGGTTTGGTAGCATGGAGCACTATTTGCAGAAGAAAATGCATTACATGAAGTTGGAGTGCAACATAGTAATGCTTCCATTACCCCCAAGTAGAGTACCCACGTGCAAGCACTGCACTGACAGCCAGAAACCAGATGACGACATGTGGCGGGAGGTATCAGCAAAGAATTCATCCAGGATAAAAGCAAGTATGACAAAGTACACAGAAGTGTGAAAGAGAATTCTTCCAGAAACTGCACACACTTAAAGGAGGAAAAAAAAAAAAAAAAAAAAAGAAATCAAGCGATGAGTCAGTCATCAATAGCATGACACAAACCTGAACGAAAAACAAGAGCAAGAACATGAAAATACCATTTGACACCCCCTTCTTACAGTTCTAGATCTGGTAATATGACGGATCACAATCACTTTCACCTCCCTTTTATATTAGGATTCAAAAAGAATACACACATCCTCACAAAATCCATTCAGTTGCCATATAATAGACTTGGATTGAAATCAGATTTGCACTTTGAAAAAATAAAAGAACCAGCATGAGAATATTCCCTCTCACATTTCTCCAGAAAATTTCTTCTTTAAAATGCAACAAGCAAAGGGCACAGAGATTGGACCTAGAAAAGCATTTTTCTCCTCACGATATTCTGTAGTTTTCTGTATTTACACTGAAGCAAATGAGCAGAAGTCTGAAGAAATTAAACGCTTTAGAGTGCTAAAATCAAAACATAAGCAATACAATTTTTTAATTTCAGTATTTTAAAGTACAGAAAGTGGAAACTATGAATATCAAATACAAATTTAAACAAAGCCACTTGTCCTCCCCTAGAATAATCAATGTGAACTACTTATAGAAACTTACAAATTTAAAGTAAAATCGAAACAAAATAAATACTGTACATACACTTTCCCTGCCTGCAGGCAAAAGAGGATGGGAAATACTGTTATGAATTGAAAAAAATGCTCTTAAAGCTGCAGCATCCCATTTCCCAGCCAAATACTTAACACAGTAGTGCGTTTCTGTAAAAAGGAAGACACACATACACCGACCCCTACTGAGCAGACAAGCTAATATTTTCAGAGACATTAGAAGGAAAGATAGAAATTAGACTATGAGAGTAGAAAAAGGAGAGGAAAAGACAAACGGGCCAGCAAAACATTACTACAAAACTAGTAAATATAGCCAAGAACTAGCCCCTTTTTTCTTTTTTTTCAAATTCCATGTTTTTTTCTTTTTTAAAAAAAAGATTCACCAAAGCATTGGCAGCAATAGACATTTCCCAGCAGAAGTGACAATACATATCAATATAATCTCTTAAAGTGATCCCTTTCATTCCCTTCCCACAGCATGAAACTCTTATGGCTTAATTTATATTAAAAGTAGAAAAAGTCTTTTTTTCCAAACAGAAATGCAGCCTATGAAGAACACGCATTTCCTTATCAGTGCTACTTATATTTCCCATCCACTGCATGATTTATCACTCATACGCTCCCACAAAGAGGGTTGCTAGGGTGTTTTCTGTTGGGTTTGGAGTTTTGGGGTTTGGGGGTTTTTTTCGGAAAAATGGATGTTGCAGCTTTTAATCTTGTTTAACCACAAAGAGTAAGGCCCTTGGTTCCATGTATATTTCTTCTGTGAAAGCATAGCTCTGGACTCACTCAACCCCAGAGCTACAAACAGCTTTTAATGGTCTGGAAGTATTACGTGAAAGAAGCTCTGGAAAGACACTAGATTTGGGGGTCATGGTGGGGGTGTGAAGGGACAGGTGGGCATGTGGAGCCTAAACAGGGCATTAGTTATAGGCTTGTAGTACCGGGTCATTCTAGCTTCAGTTCTGCTTAGTCTCCACAATTACCAAAAAGGGGTTAGCAAGATTCACATCAGCTCTGACTCTGAAATCCTGCAAAAATTTTCAACATTTACAACTTCATGGCCTTGTGAATGAAGGTGGCTTATGCCATACAGCAAAGCCTAGGGAAAGCTGAAGCTTCTTACATGTGATCATGACACTGTGCTCTCTTACATGTCTTCTAAAGGTAACACAAGCACTTCAACCACCAAAAAACCAAAACCCCCGAAGTCCCCCATGTGATCAGAAAGCAACAATTCTAACTCTCAACATCTAACCCTTTCAAAATTGTCTTTAAGAATGGATTCATGTAGAGTATTACAGGTTGCATAGGTAATCTACCTCAGAGGTCAACAAAGGCTACCTTGTAGCCAGGGTTTATTAGCAAGTATAGTAGGAGAAGAAAAGGGAAAGTTGCTGGAAAAGTCTTTGATATAGTTTCTAGGTGGTCTTTCCATTTTCCTGTTTGTTTCCTTTTCTTTTTAATTGCAGGAACGTGAGAACTTAGAGAATGGGAAAACCCCTACAATATTTCATTTCCTATTGTTCTATCTACAAAAAAATAATTAAGTTTTATGCCAAATCCAAGTTTTTGGACTTTTTTCAAAAAAGATTTATCCTTGAAAATGAGTTACCATAGCAGGCTTAATTCTCTTTGTTGTCCAGTCAGTGTTCCCTACTCCCTCCCTCCCTCTTCCACCCCAAGTGAGACAGCAAGGAAAAAAATTGGGCTTTTTCTCTCCACTACAACAACACAAGGTTCAGCCCACCTACAGAAAGATCGGTGCAGTAGTGTTTCCATCTAGAACACAATAAAAATATCCCTACCTACAAGTACACAAAACAAGTGAGGTCACCACATCCTCTTCATGAGCTACCAGGAGACTTTTTTGTTTCCCCCCCTTTTTTTTCTTTTTTCTTTTTTTTTTTTCTTTTTAATACTGCCCATCATGGCAATTTCTTTTAAATTACTTGTTCTGAGGTGGGACATCAGAATTAACTTCTGCTGGAAGCATGGATATCTGAAGAAAATGGGAATGAACCTCTGCCTGTTGACAGCCTGTGAAGAGACTATTACATAAATTCATGACAGTGGAGAGCCACTTTGGAAAAGAAGGTAGGAAGTAGAGTAAAGAAAGAACAAAACCAAGAAGAAATAATATATATGGGTCCAGCCACATCTGCATTCCAATAGTAAGATACAGATAAATAATGCGGATGGTCAAAAAAGAGACTTTGTGTAAGCCAGTCACATGTACAAGAAAGCATATTCCATATTTTAAAATTCCTTACTCCAGATTCTATTCTGGCATGCTCCTAATTCGGGTAAGTGTTCTCAAAAATCTGTCTTTAAGGAGAGAGCGCTCATTCTTCATTCTGCCCCGAATCTGATTGCTGCCCTAAACCGGAATTTTCTATGCTTAAAAATTATACAGCCAGCAAGAAGGAAACAGTTTGGTTCAATATGCTAAAGCTAAAACAGTTTCCAAAGCCTGACAGGCATTAATCCATTTGCTCAAGCTTAAGCACAGAGAATATTTATATGGGTATATATTTTTAACTGATATTGACAATACAGTTTATTTCTTTGACTTTGGTGAGAACATATTAGAAGATAGTTAAAATATTCTCTTTTAACTATTTCCATCTGGAAACCTAGCACCTGAGAACAGCAAGTACTTATAGTCACTTTCAGCACCTGTAGAGTACCTCTTAGCTTATCTTCTGCTTTTTAGAAATCTTTTATTACCTCCATTCCCAATAGTCTAAACAAGGTTGATAGCTTGCATTAAATTAAAAAAAAAAAATTAAAAAACTGAAAACATGCTTTTGTGAAACCATAATTAGCAAACAAAAAAGGTTAAAAAAATTCACCATACACACACGCACAAAACTTAAAGTCAAGTCAATACAACATAAAAGCAGGACTGCAAAAACGACTCCTAAATTATAATTTTCAAGCTCCAGAGGAAATAAAGCCATGAAAGCTACCTGACTTATATGCAGTTGCATTATGTTTTGATGTTTCTAAATTTAGAAACAGGGTAACATAGTGCTAAATAGTTTTGACCCTGCACAATCAAAACCACCTGACATCAGAACTACTTCCATAAGTTTGTAAAGGCATTCATAATTTAGCCTAGATAAAAATAACTCTGCACAAATATTCTGGAAAGTCCAACTGAATTTGTTTTTAAACCACAACATGAGAAAACAATTCCAGTATAGAATATGGAGGAAGGAAAAACTGGTATGGAAAGTTAAATCAATTCAATGACTTGGATAGCTATGCCTGGGTATTTTTTTACTCTTAGTAACCAAAAAAACCACCCCCAGCCAACCAATAAGATCGTTGTCACTAGCATATTAATGTTTTCACTTTGGCTGGACCCTGCAAAATGCCCTTTTTCCAGAATCAAGTAAGAGTATTCTCCTTTCCGCCTTCATCCCCATCCCCCAAAAGATAAATATTTCATTTTATATTACAGAAAAATACAAATTTAAAATCAAAATTATTTACAGTAATTCAGAATCAGCATTTGCTATCAGCTCTGTTTGAAGCCTGACACAAATGATCATTCTGATACCAGTAAGCTACTTAATGCTTATATACGCACCAGTTAAGACTTATAATTGGCTGTCTTGCCCAGCTTTGAAAGCAACACACGTTCTCCTGCCTTCCTGACTCTTCAGTAAAATGTCTTTGAAGTATAATAATATTGTAATGCTTCTTCTATGCTACATTAAGTAATATGCCAAATCTTAAGACTGCAACGTATATCTTACGAGTTTTTTCAGAGTAATTGTTTTGAAGAAACATTTATCTTAACTGATGTCCCCATTTCTCCAAAAAGATGTATTAGGTTTCCCTCCTTTGTACCAACTGTTAAATAACCTGTACAAATACAATTTCAGGGAGTCTTTTTACAGAAGAAAATCATCAGAGATAGAGCATCAGGAGGAAAAGTATGCACTCCAATTTGGAGGAAAGGGGTGCAGTTTAAAACAAGTTAGCTACTGGACTGACATAAGAAGATTCTTCTGTCTTTAGGAGTCTCTTCTAGTCCATCAAATAAATAAATCTGTATAAAAGAGGACAGGTCAAAAAATAATCAAGCTGGCAGAGAATATGCAACTTGCAAGTCAACAGAAGCCCAGCCAGAAGCTTACAAAAAGCAGGGAAAAAAAAAATAAGATTCCATATGCCTTAATTTAAAAAATAATTAATAATGCATCTCACCCCTATTTAAGACTATAACCTGAATATCAAATTTAGGAGTCCAGACTAATCACAATTAATGTGGCTCTCCACTGCACCAAACATACATTATCAAAACAACTAAAAACTTTCACATTCTTAAATCTAAATAACCCCCACAAAAAAGTCCTCCAAATAAATAGGTTTTTAAAATGAATTTAAAAGTTGTCAAAATCTATCAGAAATAAATTATTGATAAACCACCTTCATCATCTTCCCCTCATTAATTAGGTCAGAAACTACCAGCAACAAATGATATTTAAGCCCTGATGAGAGACTATTTCTCACGGTCCATGTCTCTCTGAAGATTTCCCCATTCCCATATGGTTATTGCTGAGCAGGTGTGGCACAGTGAAAATGCAGCATTGGGTTGGTTTTTTTTTTGTTGGTTTTTTTTTTTTTTCTTTCTCGTTTTTGTTCATCAGGCAGTGTTTTATATGGTACATGCAAGTCTGCTTCAAGCAGAGGAATAACAGCAGCTCCAGGCTCTGTTGACCTCAATACTGGTCTGTGTAGGAAAGACAGCAGTAGTAGAAGTAGCAGCTACATTAAACAAAGAAGCGTGCATGGCCATTCCGGTTCAGTTTCAAGATCTTCCCAAGGCGCTGTTTAGCAGTTGCCATTCCTTTCTTTGGACGTTTGCCTGAAAAATGAAATCAAGTGCTTCAATCAGGAATTTCAGAACAAATTTTTGTCATTGTAGAACAAAGATGAAAGCCAGCTTTCAAGCTGAAGCAGGCAAAATTTTCAACTGAATTGTTTTTAAAAAAAAAAAAGCAGCTCTTCATTTGTCTGTTTGGAACAAAACAAACAGGGACTCAGAATTGTAAAAAAAAAACAAACAGGAATTGTTTTCCCTAAACACTGGCTAGCATTATCATAAATAAAGTGATTCTATTATTTACAAACGTTTCCAGTCTAGGGAAGGGCAGTGGGTGTGGTAGGGGAGAATCTAAACTGAGCTTCCTGAATTTTAAGTGTCACAGCTTTTAAACCTTCACTTCAATAAACAAATCTGATTCAGGCCAGTGTTTCAGACTATAGTTGTGGTTCTGCTCCCTGTAATAAATGCATAACCTGCACCACCTGCAGAGGCGCAATGGTAACTATGGCCACACACCCAGTTAGAGCGCTCTTATAATGCCCATTTTATATTTTTCCTCAAGGTCTAAGTTTGTCCTTTCTTCAGTTTCTGCATAAAACAGCTTTTTGATGTTTACAAGCTCCTTTTCCTAGACTTTGTTGTCTTTTTTTTTTCCCCCGCTCTGGCAAGAGAATGACAGAGATAAACATTACCTTTTGTCGCCTGGTTGCTGATAGGGGGTGGATTTGATGCTGGCCTCTTTGTTGGATGAAGTGGTACAGACAAAGATGTTTCACCATACGGCCTGTCAGGGCTAAGGCTGCCATCACTCAGCCGACATTCTCCTTGAATTAGATTGGAGTCTCGTGTATACTTGCCATGCTGAAAACTCAAGCCGTTGTTATGGACTATACTTCTGTTTTCCTGAACCTTATGATTGGCTTCTGATGCACCCTCTTTCTTGTTATATTTTTGAGTTTTACTTGTATCCTAGTATGGAAATGAGGAAAAGAAAAAAGGTGGATGTTGATAGCTTCTGGCTACAAGTTCACTCCAACTTTTCTAATTATATAATGTATCTTTGAAAAAGATTTTTCAGTTCCACCAGTGTCTGACCACTTTATGATTCCATCATTTCTTTTAGGACAGATACCTCTTAAAATAAGATACAATATAGTATGCCTGTGCAAACTTTTCGATATGCACTCAAGGGCAATGCTATAGATTAATTACACATACTAGTGTACTCAATTTCACTGCTTTTTGGTTTTAGTTTGCAGCGATCAAAACAAATGCAACTGCTCTTGATTACACTGGCCACTATAGCAAGCCATATGATAACCACTGACTACATAAACATGCAACTAGTTTTCAATATTCAGCTGATGAGAGAACAAATACTAAACTGGGAATTACAGACTGTAAGGAGTATCATGTAGTTAGATATTCATACAAAAAAACCTAAAAAGCATGCAATTAAAATATAGCTATTAAATAGCACTGTTGTTTTGCAACTTTAACTGTTCTACCATTCTATTTATTTAATTGCTTAATTGTTCTAATACTTGTAATATGGACAAGTTTAGAAATACTAAAAAAGTTCAGAGTATAAGACACACAACCTTTCGTTTACATATTCCTTGCTGGATTCCACCTGGACAACAGAAAGCAAAAATATTCCTACCTGCCGGCTGTTGAAAGTTTGTATCAGTTTGGCAGTACCAATTTCCTAAGCAAGTATCTTTACTATAATTATTATCACCAGGTTCCACTTGTTCTGATGCTCTAGTTGGCAATAACAATGAATGAACAATACACTGTTTCCCCAGTTAGACTGAATGTAAATTCACACTTTTTTATAAAGTATGTTTTATTTTTCAAAATAAGCATCTTAATACTAGCCGCTACAACAGAAGAGAGTTTGAAAGGAAAAAAAGTAAAAATCAAAACAACAATGAAAAAAGCATGACAAAAATTTAATGCTCAGTTACCAGCATCAGAAGTATCTATTATCAGATATGCAGTGTGGAAAGACCTGTCCACCATGCTTTCTGTACTTAGAGTTTCATGATGTCTTTTTCCTATAAAATTTTTTGTGTTCAAAATGTTTAAAGTATCTATTGCTTTACCTGAGGGGTAATCCTCGAAGCTTCATTCAGGTGTCTAGCCCATGCTGAAGTCCCCAAGTCTCTTTCCTCATCCTTCACAGACCTACCTAAAGAGAATTTCAACAAGTTTAAATTTTAAAATCAAGAACTAGGAATACAAGGTTAATTATACATTTGAATAACTTAAAATTAAAACAAGAAAGAAAGGAAAATACAATGGAAAATATTTCCTAGATATAAAATAGAAGTTGTTAGAGCTGCTCAGTTCTACAGACTAAATTCAGAAAACAATCTCACAGTATCAATACACCTAATTAAAGATCCACATACCACAGTAAGAAGGTCAGACCAATATAGTTGTTCAAATTTGAAAGTACTGATGTTGAAGACCGCTAACTTTCTTTGTTACGCTACAGTTTTCAGTTTCCTACCATGGCTTTCTATCATATGGAGTTCATATGAAGATGGACATTGTCTTTAATTTTCAGGTATTATTGATTGTACTGTTTCTAAGCACTGACGTGCTATTCAGGTACAACACATGGAAGGTCTACGCTGATAGGCCTATAGAAGAAGTGTCCACACTGAAAACACATTTACAATACAGTTGCCTTGTAAAATTAAGGGTATCCCAAGACACCAATTCAATTCAAATTTGGAGAGATCAAAAGGTTTTGCAAAACCTGCTAACTAAGAAGCAGTTTCATCATCTTCATCCGTGGAGTTTGATACATCATAGAATCACAGAATGTTTTGGGTTGGAAGGGACCTTTAGAGGTCATCTAGTCCAACCCCCCTGCAGTGAGCAGGGACACCGCTAACTAGATCAGGTTGCTCAGAAGCACGTCCAACCTGGTCTTGAATGTTTCCAGGGATGGGGCGTCCACTACCTCTCTGGGCAACCCGTTCCAGTGTTTGGCCACCCTCACCATACAGAATTTCTTCCTTATATCCAGTCTAAACCCTGCTTTAGTTTAAAACCGTTACCCCTTGTCCTGTCACAGCTGTCCCTACTAAAAAGATTTTCCCCCTCTTTCCTATGGGCTCCCTTTAAGTACTGAAAGACCACAATAAGGTCTCCCCACAGCCTTCTCTTCTCCAGAAGAGAATTTTTTCCCAACAGTCCATGTGGTGCTATATTTTAGATTTGTGGCTAAGACAGTGTTGATAACACACCAAAGTTTTGGCTGTTGCTGAACAGTGCTTGCACAGTGTCACAGCTTTCTCTTTTCCCACTCTTCCCCCTGCAGTAAGTAGGCTAGGAGTAGGCAAGACATTGGGAGGGGACATAGCCAGGATAGCTGGCCTGAATTGGCCAAAGGATATACCATACCATACCATATAAAGTCATGCTTGACAATAAAAACTGGGGTAGATTAAGAGGCAGGTGGGATAGGCAATCTTCCAAGGTAGTCACTGCTCAGAGACTGGCTGGGCATCAGTCTGATTGCAGAAGATGGTGAGTGACTGCCTTTGCACCACTTGTTTCTTTTCCTTTCTTTCACTTACTGTAATGCCTTTATGTCAACCCACAAATCTTCTCACTTTTGCTCTTTCTATTCTCTCCCCCATTCCACAAGGGCAGGGGGAGAGAACAAGTGGCTGTGTGGGTGCCTAGCTGCTGGCCTGAGTCAACCCACCACAATTTAGAAACCTGGATACTATGTTTTTCATAAAGTTATAAAGATGGAAAGGCACTGTATGTGTCTGTGTGGTTTGCTGGTTAGGGTTCTTTGATGTTCTTGGCGGGTTTATTTATTTACTTATCTGGTTGGCGGGTTTTAAGGTCATACAGCTTCAATTACAAGAACACAGTCCATGACATCACATTAGGCCTTCGTCTTATCAATTCATTCTATTTGTTCCACATCAGCAAAGCTATAATCCTCTTCCATTTTCTTCTCAAGCAAAGAATTTTCAAACATAAAGACTCCCTCTCTCTGCTCCAAGAAGTGATTTTGATTCCTTTCAGGGGATTAGTGTTAATGTTCTGCCGTCTGTCATTTCCAAAATGCATTTAACAGATGTCTGTTTTCCACCAACATCAAAATGCCACTGACAAAAAAGTTACCTCTGAATTCTCATCTTCAAGATTAAAATCTCCTTTGATGCACTGTATTCATAGCAGAATTTCAGGAGTAAAGCCAAATATGCCTTCCAAAGACACATGAAAAATCACCAAGCAGATTCCCATGGATATCTAAGTAACACACATGCCATGAAAGCTGCAACCATGAAGGTTCTGTCAATCTTCTCTGAAGAAGATTACACTTTCAGTAAGGAGACTACACTTTCAATTTAGCCATAACTTTGCCACTCTTGTAAGGATGCCATAAAACTTTTGGATGGCAGTATTTAGAAGATGCATTCTGATAACCTCTCAAACTAAGATGGTCCCAGTTTTCAGAAGTAACATTTACTTTTTATAGGAAAAAAACCAAAACCAAAACAAAATCAAAGAACACATCTTTGTAAATGTCACTCTGATTTACTTAAAAACTTGACTACAAAACTAAAAATTTAATTTTAAGTGCTTATTCTGAGCAGTTTGTTCAAGAGCAGAGAGCAGCAGTGTCACTAGTACAGATACTTACCACATTCTATTGTTTTGTGGCTCTGAGATGGCTGTCTGTCTTTATGCCGACTTCTGGGGTAGCTTCTGTGTTCCTGAAGAGAGGTTCTTTTATCTGTGCAGTCTGTGCTTTGAGTATGACCTGGTAAACATGTAGTATAGTGCAATCCTGCCATAGAAAGCATGCCCTGAATAGCTTCTTCTTCTGTACTTGTCGAGGTAGGACATTCCCTAGAAAAATAAGAAAGTATTAAACAGTTCAAAACAGAACCCTAATTTTCCCTGAAAGAATGATTTTTACATTGGTATAAAAGCAGAACCATAAATATGTGCAAAAAGGTCTAACAGCTCATAAACAAATGCCCACAATGTCCTTACTTTTTACTGGGAGTTTCATTTCTGGATGGCTTCTGGGTATTTTGACAAAGGTCTCGTGTGACCTTAGATTCCTCTTTGAAATTTGATGTTGCTTCCTGTTTCTCTTCATCACCTGAGCTTTCTGACTCCTCTGTGGAGGAATCCTTCTGCTGAAACAAGAGGAAACAGTACGTAGAATGGTCACCATGCCTCCTAAATAGAGATGCTACCTTAATTTATGCTAAGTGAAAAATTCAAAAGCTTCAGAAGTCTGACTTTTTTTTTTATATATAGTATTCAGAATGCAGTTACTTTGAATATAGCAACTGAGGTGCTATATATCCAAATCTTGTAACACTGACGAGTACACGCTCCAGCAATATAAAAATCTTCGAAAACCATTTTCTTACAGAAAACACTACACATGTTAAACCATACACAAATCATTGGTACTCTCTTTAAAGCATTATCTTCTATATTCAAAGTAGAGATGAAATATGGAAGTATGGTTCCAGGCAGCAGCCAGAATTGATGCCTATTACATATAACGGGACACAACCTGCCCCAAGTAACTTTCTGATTCCTGCTCTCACAAAAAGATAACTTTCAGTAGCAGCATCTCTCTTACGAGTGACAGAAGCTCTCAGGTGAATCCAGAACACAGCAGGAAAAGAGGCAGAGCAGCTGTTCCTCTCTTACAGTGGCACAGCCTTATTTCATGAATAGAAGGGCTTTCCAGCTCCTGCTGAGATTACAGCTTGTATGGGCAGGATCTTCTCAAAGGTGGAGCAACCATATGTGACTCAATATGCTTTTACATGAACCAAGGGCTACAATAGATACATCCCATCTTGGTAATTCAGACTGATCTATTTTCAACAAGTACAGAGAATGCCACGGTTTTTTTTCAAGCCAAGGAATATACATGACAATCAATAAAAGTGTTGAAAGTGGAAGATCAGAACATGGAAGAATCATAATCCTTCAAGACTGACACCACTGTCCCTATCATCAAAAACAGAACTGGAATGAGTGAAGTATATCGTATCACCAAGGGATGTTTTTATACAATAGCTTCATTCACAAGAGCAGCTTGTTAATCTTTGACACTTGGAAAGTGACACAAATGGGCAATTAAATTATAACTATGACTCAATGTTAGTAATAAAGCTATTATCTTGTTTTGTTAAGATCTCCTTTGGTGCAATAGAAAAACATAAAAAGGATTTATAGGAGCTACTGAGATAGTTCCTTCTATATTCTTCTGCTTCTTAATTGCTAATAGTATCTAATGGAATAATTTTTCTGCATGTTTAAACTTGTCTTTTGTAATGATATATCCACAATGACCTATGACAGTAAACAGCATTAATATAAAATATTTCACTCAATGACAAAGTCATCCAAACCTGGCTACATTCTACTGTGAAGAAGTAGTATATAACTTCTGAATAACTATTGATTCTGAGTCTTAAAAAAGGAAACCTGTTGAGCCAAAGTTGCTGACAATGCAGTTTAGGAAACCAGAAGAAGCCACATTATGAAGGTTCCTGTCACTTATTGCAATGTTTAGATAAGGTAATGATGGAAGACAACAAATATTAAAAATAGTCTTGACCACCATGCAAAAAGTAAGAATTTGAAGACTTGCCTTCTTGTGAAGTGTTATAATAGGCTGATGATTGAAAGTATTAGCTTTCCAGAAGCACAAAACAGAAGTTTTAGGTAATCACTCCACCCTACTAGCATTTTACTGCTATCCAATTAAAATTGAAATTACAAAGTCAGAGCACAAATTTGCACAGGAAAAAATCATAAAAATATTTGTAAAACATACACACATTTCTAAATACTAAAAGTTGTATTAAAATACATGTGTGTAAATATATATACACGTACACATGTGTGTGTGCATTTATATTTCGTTTAATTGTAAAGACCTTCAAATGGAGGATTCCAAATTATTTCACATAGTCTAAAACACCTCAGTAGGATTTAGCCACTTCGGCTTACTTAAAAAACTGAGGGCCTATGAGATTGTTTCCATTTAACCATGCTCTAAAATGAAACTGTGGTAGATACTCATAATGCTAACGATGAAATTTAGACTTGTTATAGAAGAAATGAACAAAGCAACTAGGATCTAACTTTTCTCAGACTTTACATGTTCCAGAGCAGGGTTCATCCTTTGCCAGCCCCACTTTAACGACAAAGTTGATCACAAAATTTGGCTCAAGATAGCATGTCTTGTCATTTTTCTCAACACTAGAATAAATGAAGAATGAGGCAGAACAGTAAGTTTGAGATATTAACTTGAAAAAGAATTAAATAGTTTGTTTCTGCTCTTTTAACATAAACTTAGACCAGATAAATTTGAAGTGAGCGAGCAAAATAATACTTAATTGCTTTATTAATTTCTGTGATTTTTTCTAGCTATACCTGTGTAGTGCAATCAGGCTCAGATTCTTCTGAATCAGAAATATCAGAGTACTCTGAGGATCCATTCCTGAGTTCTGATTTCACACTTTCAAAGAACACTGAGGAGAGAAAAATTAAAATATAAGACCCAACATTTATTACATATAATAATTAACAATTATTTTAGATGTGAAGAACAAGGAACACGTATTTAGTTTTTAACAGTCTGTAAATAAAAGCACACCCACACACTGATCCGGTTCACAAGTCAAGTTCGTTTAGAACTCCAGTGAGTTGCCTGCTCTTGACCAATAGACTCCTCGTGCAGCTCACTGTATGAAGCTGGAAGAAGATACATCAAGTGCAGCAGGAGCATATACTTTTTCTCTCCCACAGAGCACACACTCCACAGATGGCACCTTGGGCAATCTCTGCTTTTGTATGTAGGCTAGAGTCAGAGAAGTGGCTCTTAGAAAAAGTTAATTAGAAGTAATCTTCAATATTACTTTGTCTCAGACTCTTTGAACCTGGAATTTCCTTCTTTAAAAATAAAAGCAGTTCTACAGAAACACTAAACATGAAAGTCAGAGGGTATTAAGGGATTTAAAGATATAAAAAAAAAAATCATTGCGTGACTTGCAATTTTAGTTTTACATCACAATTTACTGGCATATTCTGCCTGTTTTATGCTACCACAGCCACCAGTCAGGGTTAAAATGCAAACCTGTTAAAGAAGATTAAAATATTACTGTGATGATGATATAGAATATACTTGCATTGGTTTTCATCACAGAAAGACCTGAAGAGGAGGAGAGGAAATACCAACCTTAGACACACTTTTTGATGTACCAAGATAAAGTACTAATCAGAGAATGAGGTGTCAAAATAGACGTCAAAAACACTGGCATATGACAAAGCAATCAATCAAATCAGCCACCTAGTCCACACGGTTTACTTTTAAGTGCTGTAAGAGCTTAAACGTCAAGTAGCTGAGCAGCTCTAAGCAGCATGTATTCTTAAAAGACAGCATATGTCCCAAACAACCATGACGTGTAAGCATTCGGAATCCAAGGCTCACGGTTAGCGGGTTGTATACCTGTGTCAAGGCTGCTGGCAGAAATCTTGATTAAGTACAAATTTGTGAAAGACTAGAATATGCAGTTTAACCAGTGAAAGTTTTTTGGAGAAAAGCCAAATAGAATAAGGTAGTGGATAAAGAAAGCAACACAAAACTTTTTTAAGTTTTCAAGTGCTAAGTTTCATATAAAATCATGGTGAAAGCAAACCAACATTTTAACTTGACTTGTCTTGATTCCAGAGCTAATTTCTGATTTGTGTTGCTTTCAGCATAGTTTTATATGAGACTACATAAACAGAACACAATTCTTCATAACTCATTAATTATGCAAGCATAAAAGATGCACCTGTGACCCTATATGCACTGCAATTCTAGTAGGATTTTGTTCCTATTGTAGACTATGGCAAAGCTCATAAATAGGCATCAAATATATTTCAAGGGATATTATTAATTTCTAAACACTGCCTAAGTGGAAAATATTTTTAGAGTCAGAAGAAACCTAAGACTGAGACAGGTTATCAGAAAGTGAATAAAATTAACATCTGGGACTGAAATCTAGAGAAGACTAATTAAATTTAAGATAGCATATGTGACATAACACACTGTAAGAGCCTCAAGCCTGATCCAGTTTGGCTATGCCAATATTCCTATATGCACCCAAACCATTGTCCTTTTTACCACTTCTTTATTTTGTAAGCTCTGTGCAAAGCAGTCAGAGAATACCTCCACAATTTTCCTTCTGCCTTATATCATTCACAAAACCAGGGAAGCTGCGTTCCTTTATACTCCTCTTAAAAAAAAAAAATCCCAATTGCTTTCCACCCCCGCCCCCACCCCACTTTCTACATTCCCCTGCAAAAGACTACTATGGTTTTCCCACCCTTCTCTTTCACATACAGGTTTCAGATGTATTTACCAATCTTCACAACAACATGTCATATATCATTAGAACCCCCTCACCTCTCCATCCAGGAATGCTATTTGTAACTGAGCTTTAAAAAAATTCCAGTCTAAATATACAAGTTGGGTTTTGCTTTTTTTTGTTTGTTGTTTTTGTGAATTATCTTGGTAATTACTACTGTTACTTTAAAATTAATGGGTCTACCCTCAGATAAAGTTATGGTTCTGCATGCTTCCAGAAACTGCGAGGAAAACTCCAGAAATCAGGCAAATGAAAGCAGTCATTATCTGTAATATAAGGCTAAGCTACCGTGAATTCAAAAAAATATCTTAAAACACCTTCCCCTCATCCACACAAAGTATCTTGCTCTGTTAAGCACAGCACTTGATCTTTGTCTCTGTGATAACACTGGGTCACCATTTAGAACCAGGATCTTGGCATGACAAACAAAGCTACATAGAGCTTCATCTGATTAAAGGCATCTCTCTGCAGACATTGCCTGTTGGCCTAAACCCAGTAAGAACAATGGAAGGTGGCAGCTGTTACAGAAACAGGTAGTTCCTTTTATGGAATTCTCTGCAGAGGAGTATCTTCTCTCTCTGTAAACCTTCACTGAAGGCAAAATAATCAAATGTAGGTGATCTTTAATAGGGAAGTTTGAAGACTCTCACTATTGAATCAAAAACTATTGAGAGTACTCAATTTCTGGAAGAACAATCTCAGCATTCACTTCTAGTTCCAAGTACATTACTTACATTTAAATATACACTGCTGTATTCATTATGTATCAAATAAGAGCAACAACTTTGAAGAAAATCTACCATTTGCCTGTATGATTTAATCTTTTATTCAAGTGTCAAACTTAGTTTAATTTACTTAGTTTAATTCTGAAAGTGGAAAAACACCACATATGCCTAAGCCTTCACTCAACAAGCCGTTGGCCTTGTTGGTTCTCAAGTACCCAAGAGGGAACTCTTTCCTGTGCAAATTTTTAAATACTGTTCTCTGTGACCTTTGGAAGCACAGTCAACAGGGATTACAAATTGCTTTGTCAATGAAAATAATTAAATATTTTATGCAGACTGACAATGGACTCAAATGTTGTTACAGATTGTTGTGCAGGAAACTAGGGGAACTGTAAGTCTCTAGAGGAGTCTTGTTATCTTTTAAGTGTTGACCTCAGTTTCCTAATACATACCCTCCGCACCCTTGTAAGTTCTACTTTGAAAGGATGTGACTTTTATAATTAAACAGAGAGCTGAACAGCTAAGTCAGGGACCAACCTGCATTGCACACAGACAGTGCTATTAAAAATAGGCACTGAAAACAAGCATTCAGCATTGATACTTTACTAATACACTGTGTGATCAGCACTGCTGAAGACTGGCAGGAAAGCTTGAGGCTACAGAAAGACCAAAAATGATTAACTCCTAGTGAAGGATGGTTTAAAGTATTGGAAAGTGGTGTTAACGTGTTTTACAAATAACCTAAATTCTTCCCCAGGCTTGCAGATTATTAAAAAGGTTGAAAGTGAAAGACTTTATTAATGCTAAATTATGTTTGATCTCTTGTATAGAACAAACCTATTCATTAGCAAAATACAAAAAATTGTATGATCAAGTATGTAATCACCAAATGGAACACAAAAATGAAACGTAAGAGGTTTAAAATTAGCTGCATGTTACGATCTTTTATTCTCTACAGTGAATGATGTGATGAACTCTTCATACTTAAGTATATTTTGGTCAAGAAAAATCAGCATTCTTACATTATGAAACAGACCAAAGGGAACAAATACTCATCTAGAACACCAACTAAACCTCCCTTCTGAAAAATGCTGTAGAGAGTACTCAAGATGGCACTAAGGGAAAAAGGTTTTACTTTTCAACTCTATCCTGTTATCACCTTCAGTAAACAGACAGTATTTGACAAATGTCAAATATTACTTCTCTGATCTGTTAGTTTATCCTCTTCATACTTTGGTGATATTTCATTTGGGCTTCACAACAGTTAGACACGCTTCAAGATCATCAAAATGTTCAACTGATAGGACTTGAAGACAAGCTTACTGTTCAGTGGTTTCTGGGCATCTGCATTCCCTTCTCCTTCTAATCCTGAGGGCTGGTCTTCTACCTTAACAGTCGTTTTTTTCGACCTTGTCCTGTCATCTTCATCTTCACTATCTGCTGTGTAAAGACTTCGATCTGTAAATGGGCGCCTCTCATCTCTGTCTCACAAGAAAAAAAAACATGTTATTCATACAAACTTAGAGCAATTGTTTTCCTTTCATTATTTACAACACTCTCTCGGGATACAACTGTAACGTTCTCTTATGCTCATCTCTTCATTCCAAATTGTACATATTTCCATTTTACTCCCTCTACAACTGTCTCTTCCATAAAAATGAGAATTTTTACACAAGAATATTTTTAATGAGAATCACTCTAATAGATGGATACAAAACAACTGTTTCTACTTTGAAGCATTCCCTTCAGTACAAACCCAACTGAACAACGGAATGAAATACTTTAACAAAGGAGCATGCAGAGAATCTCCTCCTCTTCACTTCATAACCGTGGCTCTACTAGGGGACAACAGACACAACAGGCAACACATTCCTTTTATATTCCTAATGTGAATCTTACTGGTAAAAGGGAACTTAGAGCTCCACAAACAGCAAAGAAATGTTTATTAATAATTAGCATGCTCCGGACCATAATGACTAGGAACAAATGATCCACAACCAACACTTCGTACCTAATTATTCTTCCATTTGACAGCAGAAGGCGAAGATCGTTGTCTTTTGTTCGCCATTCAGGTACTGTAGAAGATGGCTGAAAGGGCTTGTTAAATCTCCCGTTCAGTTTCGAGCTTGCGGTATCCTAAAGATGTAAAAGCAGTGTTGTTTATTATTTAGTTCTGTAAATCCAATTGTTTTTTCTGCACTCCACAAAAGCTTAAACTCGGCACCAGGATGGTTACCGTCCTGATAAACAACTGAAGAAAACTCAGACAAAACATATTTGGATATAAAAACCAGCATCTTCTTCCTTGAATCATCTACACTCTCCTGAAGCATCTGAAACAACTACAACTTACTACAACATTCCTTTTATGTCTCCTTTGGAGAATTATCACTGTATTCAAAACAAATACCAAGAAAGAGAGGCAAGCCAAAAGCTGGGCTTGGAACTGAGAAGTCAGCTCCTGGATTGGCTATCTGGTCACTGGCATTAGTATCCTCAAACTGATTTACAGGACAGTAAAACATCAACAGTGGAAAGTAACCTGCCACAAGCAGAACCTTCTTAGCTCCAAGCAATTTACTTTTGACACATACTCTGAAGCAATTGGCCATACACTTACGTGCCAAACCAGGAACATGTAAAATAGTGGGGGTTTTTTTGCAAGTCAATACTGACAGTGAACAATAATGTTTCTACATTAAATGACAATGACTAATACTCCTAAACATTTGTTTGTAGCAATGGATTGCACAGGTGAACTATTTGTGGTAAATTTTAAGTTCAGCTTCCTGTCTTTGGGGGCTAAATGAATGTCTCTTGTTCATGCCTTATGAAGATCAATATAAGGACCTAAATCAGGATTTCTCCACTATGACAGTCAATCCTGTCACAACTAAATTTGTCAGCATTTCTTATATTCAGAAAGCTACTTATTTCCTTTCATAAAGCTACTTATTTCCATTATTTCACTCCTCCCATTTCTGTCACTGTTTTTTGAAATAAGGTCATCAAATCTGAAAAAAAGAATTTTTCAAGAGACTACATTTTTCTCATTCACTCCATGATACCTCAGTGATACAGGAAATAGGAACATGACCAAAAAACAAGGCTAATCAAATTACAGTAACTGAACTATACGAAACAGCTATCTAAAAACACATAGAGAAGCAGTCTGGCCGAGAGCCTCACCAAATCAAGGCTTTGCAAGCTCCCTTTTCTTCACAGAACTGATTCAAAGCAGCACTTGATAGCTACAGCAGTCCTAATTCAAAAACTATACTTGAAGTAGGTAGTGGATTCAAGGCACCTTCTGAATCAAAAGGCTGAAGGAACCTCCACAAAAAAATTACCAAGAAAGAGAAATTCCCATCAGGAAAACTCAAAAGAACGAAACCGAAACCAAATCTATCCATGTCTCATATGATAAAGAGTAGTAGCCTGTATTCTTAGGCGTGTTAAAAGCTTTTCACTTTCAACAGAGACTAGAAATCTACTCTGGTTTTATTCTTGTTGCACGTAACTTCATACTTGCCTCCTCCCATGGTGACATCTCCAGCCTTTTCAGTACCTCCCTGGTGTGGAGTTCCAGGATGTCCAGATTAGAAGGAGTTTTGGTAGCATGGTCTCGCAGTTTCCTCACCCTTCGTCTGGAGTGGTGAGGGGAAGTTGTTTCATGTGAAGACCGTGAAGTTGGACACACACCAAGAATTCCCTGAGTTTTAACTAGCTTGCTGTTTTCCTCCTTTAATTAAAAACACATATTTCAGAATAGTCTCAGAGGAATAAATCCACATATTTAAGTACTGCTGCTTATTCATCTAATTAAATGTAAATTATATAAATACAATTGTTGGACATTTTGGAGAAGTACTATGTATTTCTTAGGGATTTGATGTACAAAGCTTAGTTCTACTGCATCTCTCTTCCAGTCGGGGCTTTTAAACTCTCCCATAATAGTAGTGCTTAACACCAAAAGTTACCACCGAAACTAAGGTTTTATTCATTAAGGCAGCATAGCATAGACATGTATTGTACCCAACAAATTACATTTCTCTTCAGTTCTCAGAACTGTTCTCTCCACATGCAAATGTGAGAATTTTTCAAGAATCAATATTCATTAAGGAATAAAGGAACAAACTACTGGTATAGGAGGTGAAAAAAGAAAGAAAAAAAACCACCCACTGATTATATAACACATAGGGACAAAACATAAGAAAAAGAGCAAAAGAGATGACAACTGGATCGGAGCTAAGAAACAAGAGGGTTGGAGAATGGAATATACACAGAATTTCAAATTAAACTCTTCAACAACGTATTCACAATAATTATTTTAAGTAGTTATAAGTGAGAGCATTTTAGAAATACTGACCTACAAGTAACTTCATCATTAAAAATCTTTAAAAAAAAAGTACATAAAACAGCCTTGCTATGCATTTTCTTTACCTGAAATACCAATGGCTCAGTATTCCCAACAGTTTTCCTCTAGATCTTCTATTATTAAATGAATGTTAAATAAATTAAAAGGTGAATATAGTCAATCAGAAGCATAGTTACTATGGAATTTCCTGATTCAAAGATTTTTTTTTTCTGCAGGATTATGTAGTGTTGCCTCTGTTCTTACCTCTACAGAACGAATCACTTTTGAGAGCTCTTTTATGAGATGCCCAGGCCTAATGTTGTCTGGAATTTCAAAGGCATGTTCTGTTACAAGCTGTATGCAAAGGGGGGAGAAAAGATACTTAATTAATTTTCTCAGATAAAAACTGAAGTAGTACTAAATAAATAAACAAATCTATAAGGAAAAAAATTAAACAGAAAAAACCAGATTATTTCCTTTAATAATGACTGCAAGTTGCCAGGACAGATGCACACACACACTGAAGCTTCCAGTACAAGCTTTAGAAGACAGCAGATACCCCTCTATGTCTGATGCTCAGGGTACATAAGGGGAGCCTCGAGTTCGGTCATCCCACAGCTTCTCCTAGAATCTCTAAGAATCCAAAGAAGGTGTAAAACAAAGCCATACTGACAACCACTTCATTTCCCCCCCCCTCCCCCAGTACAGTAGTCAGCTTCTTTTTTTCCCTTTAGCACGGTCAATATAGAGCCATACTTCAGAAACTCATTAGAGTAGTGACCTTCAAAATATCTAAAGACTAAGGGAATTTCACTGTGGCAAAAATTTAATGTAAAAAGCAAATCAAGAATAATACTGAATAACCCACATGTGGATTTTTTAGAAATCTGCATCACATTTGACTTTTAAAAATTACCTGCTTAGCTTACTTAAAATCTGGTAGGTTGGAGAAACTAATTAAAAAAATCATCCCCTATAAAAAATTAGGATGCCATAACAGTTTATGTTCCCTTTAATCCTCTGAAACAGTATCAAAGACAGATTTTCTATTTGTTTATTACCAATCTGAGGAAGTCCAAAAACTCTAAAGTTAGATCTAGTAAAAAATATGTTTAATATTTTGTATGTACAGTTTTAAATTTGCCCCAAGTTTTTGTTAAAACACTTTTAGTTAAAACTAAACAGAAAATACTGCACTCACACATAGACCAGAATGAGTGACAAGAATTCTGCTATCCCCTTAATTGACTATTTAAATGGAAAAATATCCCACAAACACTATCAGCTACCCACATTTCAAAAATGAGATTCAGCAGCAAAATTATTGCTAGAAGCAATTTGATACTGTACGTGCATTTCATTGAACCTGGCTTCCTCTCAGTCATAAAAAACAAATGTTGCCCATCCCTCCCCCGCAGACAAACCAACAAAAAAACCAACCACGGATGTATAACCATGCCATAACCATTCTTTTCAGTGCCATTAATTCTACAGGAAAGATTAAATCAGCTGCTATTGTTTACCATTGTTTAGTCTTTGAACACATCACCTCTACACATCTACACTTGGGAAAACACAGCACCACTGTCACTAAACTGCATATTTCCAGCAAGCTACTGGTCATTTTAGGACCATTCAGTCCTTTCTACTTAAGGACTTCACTCTGCCAAAAGCCTCCCTGTCCATGAAGACTTCAAGAGGAAGTGACTGATGCAATCCTCCAAACGACTGACTTCAAAGTTTCTCTGGTTTAAAAACACTAAAAAGCCTTCGTAATGCAAACATAGTTTCAGAAGTAAATTATTTTGCAAGTATGATTTACAGTAACTCTTTGAGCAAAGTAAGTTCCACTAGCAGGCTCCCTTGTTTGCCACTGTAAAAGGTACCTATTTATGCCAAAGCTTTCTCAATTAAGCTGTGGCAGGGTAATTATTTAAAAAAAGAAAAAAAAAGAAAAAAAAAGAAAAAATATCCCTCCAAGCAACTTAAATATGTGAACAAATTCAATGGATACATAACCTAACAGTCTGACAGAAGTAAAGAATGAGCAGGAAATACAAATACCTACAGACACCATACCTGAAAAATTATTATCATTATTGAATAATTTTTTTTTAAGTCATCTCTGAATACTGCCTCTTGGAAAATGAACAAGCAGCTTTTGGGACTGAGGAATTCTCTTGTACTAGGGAGAACAGTAGCAACAAGAAGGCCTAAGTATGTCAGATGTAATTTGCAGGTAGAGAAAATAATGAAAAAAAGGCTATGATTCATTCAAGAGCTTCAAGAAATGGTTTTGTAAATGTTGGAAATACACAGAGGAAAAAGAAACTTGTCTTAAGTCAAGAGATACAGATAAAAAAAGAGTCCTGGTTGGCAAATGAATCCATGTACGTCTGGAAACTAGCATCACTACAAAGTATATGAATACTTAAAAACACACACACAAAAATAAAGATAAAATAAAAATAATAAACCCCACATCCTTACAAAAAACCTCCTTACAAAAAAAAAAAAACTATTTGTTTTTTCCTTTACAACAGCCATTAATATTTTTTTAAAAAAACACAGAACAGTTGCCCGCAATTATCTTACTGGTACATGAATCAAACATCTGAAAAACTGAATGAGAGACCTGTTTCTTATGCAAGCTGGAGTTAAATTCAAGAGCTCAGATGACTGGATAGGTCATCATCTTTATTGCGTACATCAATTAACCTGCAGACTGATGATCTGCACCAAAGCAATCAGAGATACACATACTGATAAAAGCCTTGCACAAACTGAATTCAAATCAAGATATGAAAGCTAAAAAAATTTTAGTAGCACTCAATCTCTATTCTCAGCATCTTGTAATTTTTGGCAGTTTTTAAATATTGCAGAAATTAAGATACTGCTGCCCTGCTGAAGATGAGTTTGAAATTCTCCAGCAAATAGTTTAAAGCCATTCACTAAGGTAATTCACGTATGTCTTGAAAAGACATAATCCATTATATGAACGTGAAACCTCATGAGCAGGCTTCTCATTTGTGGAGTATTCATTTATAATTTCTTTTTCAGAATCCGTCTGCAATCTCCAGCATGAGCAGATCATATAGCAACATGCAAAGCTCCTCCTGTCTTCAGCTGCATATAACTACAATCCTATCATGCACACGGCCTGCTGCAGAGAAAAGATCAGTTCACTTATGAAACAGTAGCTAGAAAAGCTGGACACAAACATGATAGCTGGTGGACAGCAGACAACATTGTGGCCAGATCACAGATACTGTGCAGTTTCCTCACAGTTGAAGTGTCTGATCAGCCAGTGGTTTGGGAATACTCATGGGTCTCATTAATAAGCATTCAGAATGCAGCACGTGCAATTCTTTTTTTTCCACAGAAAAGTAGGAAACATATCACATTCTAGATGTATTAACCAAACTACTTAATGAGCTACTAGACAGTACACAAATGCTACAATACTATGCTACAGCAATCTAGAAAAGAGGAATTCCAATCCAATTTCAAATTAAAATACAGATTTATACAGGCTCTGTTTGATCTCAGTTATCAGCAGTCAGATTACTCAGCCTGCTTATTATCCAGGCCATGGATGCAGAGATAGCTTGGATTCACACATGGTTTAACAGCTTAGGCACAACGTTCTGTAAATAACTGCTACACTACTTAATAGCTAGCTTTGATCCCAAATGGCATAGACAAAGAGACACTGGAGAACCAACTCAGAGGTGTTACACAGGCCCAGCAAAGGTTCAACTGGAATCAGTAATGCTACGCAGGCTGGACCCCAGCTGATTCCACGCAGAATAACCAACTCTGTGTTTGCACCTCGTGTTCAGCTCCGCAAAGCTTGTTATGTTGGATGCAGCATTGTGCAAATATCATACCTGGTGTATAATAAGTTCTCTTACAAGGAGAACTTGCGGGCAGAAAGACCTAACAGATCTCCAAGAGCCATATCAAGTCAGCATGACCAGCAACAAACTAGAATTAATAAGCTCAGTCAGAACCAAACTGCCAGCCAGTGAACAGCACTTCCCAGAAGCACAGGTTCCAAGAGGGCTTATTAGCTCAGGCACATGAAAAAACACACAGAGTTAGGCCAGATCCAGTGCTGTGCCAAAACAAATAAGCTTTCCTGGAGAGCAGAGCACCAGCAAAGCCAGCACAGATGACACATTAGGGATTTTACAAGAGTCAGCCGATGTTCAGCTGATTCTCTGTTCAGAGAGAGTATTCAACTGAAATTAACATACTTACCTGAATCTAAACCAACTCTGCAGCAGTACAGGTGTACCTGAAATGTGCTCTCTGAAGCACTGACATTAATGGAAAATGCTAAATATCAGGGCATTCTATCCCTCCATTGCCTCAGACTAGAATGAATCAACTATATAAACAGATTTGTTAGAAAAAAGCCCCACCTTATCAGCTTATCCTCTAGCATTCTTATCCCATCCTGATTTTACTTCTGTCAGCTACAGTACAAGAGCTTATTAATTGTTCTAAAAAGACTTTATTAGCATCATGGAATATAAAATTGTCACAATGATTCTTCCCCAGATCAGCCGTACAATACTCTCCATAGAGTCTTTCGGTACTCATTAACAGATAAAAATAATCCTAAACTTTAAAAGGGCAAAGACCTTCCCTTTCTTCTAAGTCAAAATAGAGCTCATCAAAACAGCAAACAATATCACTTATACTTACCTCTTTTTTCATCCATAATTTTAAAGCAGTAAGTAAAGCCTTCACTCCTTGCACTAAATAGCCTGGAGGCTGGAAACCATCTTCCCTCAGTTCTAAAACAGATACAAATACCAATTTAGAAACACACTAACAATGAAAACAATAGAATGATACCTACCCTTCAGCCAATAACGTTGCCATTATGCAACAGCACAAGAAAGGAAAAATTGTGCAAGCAAATGAAACATGACATCCTGTATCTCTGTACAGACTGTAACCAAAAAAAAAAAAAAAAACCAAAACCAAACAAACAACCCTAAAGTGATTCTATGTAAAATTTTCTTTTTTTGACTTATTCTTGGGTGAATTAGGGATAGCTTACAACATACTAAAGGTCAATTAGAACAAAACAGATCTAAAATACAGAACAAGAGAAAACATATTTGAAGAAAGAAGTAACTTTTATTCCATTCAGAAATATTTTAGTCAAAGAGGACCAGAAGGACGTGGGATGTATCTCTAAATTAGAATTCCTATTCCTTATTCCCGTACATACAGCGAATGGTTCACACTAGCACACTTCCACTCCCCAAACATTTTCTGTCACCCTTCCAAATATCACAGTTCTCCCTCACACAGTTTACATAATTTTTCCTCCCAAAATCAAAAGGGACGGGGGTTGGAAATCAGTCTGCTACGGAAGCTGCTCTTCTTAAGAAAGCTGGTGCTCCCAAGTGATCCCAATTCCTTCTCAATTTTCTCTTTTCCTTCATGGGGAAAAAAAAAAAAAGGGAAAAGAGAAATCTTCCACAAAGAGTCAAAAGCAGATTGCAACCTCCCCCCACATTCCTAGCAAATATTTCCACTTGTCAATAGCAAATGGAGCAACACTAGAACTATTTGGCTCATTTTATTCCCTTAAAAGAATACACTAATAAAACACTATTCTTATGGATAAGGTATTAGTCTGCTGGCAGAAAAAGGGAGGTTCTGTTACTGAACAGCCATTCTTCCCTCCAAGATGCCTCCTACTTGTTAAAGGGTACAAGAAGGAGTGCAGGCCTTTGAGCTGCAGCAGAAGTCTTTCTGCCCACTAGCTGCCTCTGTTGATAAAATTTTGAGAATATGATGCAGCACCACAGGCTGGATTTTTTTAGCTGCAACAGGAAAGACTGCATGATGTAAGAGTAATCAAAAATAGTAAGTATCAGATAGATGAACAAGTTACCTATTCTGAAGCCCCAAGAACTATGAAGAAAAATAGTTTAGGCAAATGCCACAACACTTACAGTATCATAAAACACTTCTTGCCAAGGAAAAGACAAAACCAAAATGTTTATGACCCTGTTATCATTTCATAAAAAGAACCCAAAAGATACATTGTGCTGATGTTGCTTAATGACCTGAATTTCACCTAAAGTACTGCTAACAACAATGCATTCAACATTTCACAAGTTGGTCATCACCATTACACAACTGAACTGGTATCATCCCTTATTTATAAAAAAAAGGATTCTGATTGGTAAACAGCTAATTCACATGAGTCTTGGTGCCAAAGCCCAACACATTCTTCTCTCTAGCCATGGAAACCTCAATTTTGATTTTTTATGATGGATTTATAAATCACAGCATTGTTCTGCAACAAAATATCTGCTAAGCCATAGATTAAAAATAACATGAGAATAAGCTTCATACCCCCTCCCCTAAGACACAAGTCACAAGAGGCTCCTAGCCTATGTACTCGAAGATTCATGGGATAAAAAGGGGAGGGAGAAGAGGGAAGGAACGGACAGGCGACACAACTCATAGTT